AACTTTGGCAACATGTAGAAGCTGCTTGGTCTGCTGTACCCCATGAACACATCCAAAGTCTCTGAATCAATGCCGAGGTATGTGGCAGCAGTGATCTCCAACAATGGGCGGCTGCTCTGGCCACTGATTCTGGAAGGAACCACACTTCACAGAAGTCTATAAATTTATATTTGATACTTGGTCAACATGTTATATACTAAATAAATTTTGTTGTGATATCTCTTGTCTTTCTTGGTGTTGCAATTTGGGTGGCCAGCAGTGTGTATATGATATAGGACTAAGTAATCTGTATTTTACACATTTTAAATAATACACTTCCATTGGACAGAAGTATATATAAAATGTTTTTACTCACTAACAATGTTTATTTAATAAAAGTTGATAAATTTTAATATATTTGTTGCTCTTAGAATATCCAAATAAGCATTGAAATATCTCAATCTAAATAATAAGCACCAGATATCCAAATAACAGTATTATTTTGGGCATTATAATGTCATGATATGAAGTTCACAGATTTATGATCCCATGCTAATTACAAAAAGTAAATCTGGTACTTATGTATTATCCTGTCGAGCACTGGCAGAAATTTTGGCAGTGGCAGCGAATTAGGAATCATAATTATAGAATTCTAAAAGAAGTGATCATCCACAATTGGTGCTAAATCCCACTACTTCGGCAGTCAACGATATAATATGCAAGTACCAAAAACATTAGCACGCATGCAAAAAATGTTGAATAATTTCAGCAATGAAACAAATTCCCTTTTTCAATTTCAATATGTTATAAATTTAGTACATTTTAATTAAAAAATTATTTGTATATTTACACAATAAACTGCCATTAAAATAATTCAGTTGAATTTTTGGAAAACTGAAATTTTACTTTTTTTTTTTTTACATTCAAAATTGGGTACATAGCATAGGCATTAATGGATCAAGCAGTCATAAATTATTGGAATTTTAATGTATAGCATTATAGTATGAAGAACTAAAATCATTGACTCACTCCATGAAATGTCTTTATTAAGCTTTTACTCTAACAAAAGTCTTCTTCACAAACTACAACAGGAAGTTATGAGAAACTAAAAAAATAATTTCCTTCTCATTCAGTATGCATAACTTTAATGAAAATGTTAAATTATTTCATAAAACTCACCACATTATGCTCCGAATTAATTAGCCATTGTAAATGTAGTATAATTTTTGATATAACACTAAAATATATTACTGTCAAACTTCAAAAATGCATTTCTTCTAATGGTTTCCAAAATACTAGCACTAATGTAATAATATACATCCCACCAAAGAGTATTAGACATGAGAATACATAATAATATAGATCCTGCAGAACTCAGCAAATGAGTGAAAACAATCTGGGCAAGCTTTCAAGATAGGAGCAGATTAATGCTCAATTATCCTAATAAAAGTAATGCTAAAATACAGAAGTTTACATTGATATCTTTAATTCATGGATTTGCTATATTGCAATCTATACTGCAATAACATGTATGCTTACTTTGTTTTCTTTTCTGATAAGGCAACAACATTTGTGAGATAATCAAACAGCTCACCATTTTTACATCTGTAATTAGTAAGAAAATAGAAAAAGTAAAAACACAACCACTAAGCATATTTCTATAATAATTAAGTCAAAATTTCATTCTAAATATTTATTTTTTAATACTTACATTTCAAAGACAAGGAAAATGAATGTTGATGATTCAAAAACATCGTGAAGCTCAACTGAGAAGGGAAAAAATAGTTAAACACCCAAATTAGCCAAAATATAAAATTTTAAAATTTATCATTATTGTAAACTATATTAAAATGATTAATTTATGAATAAAAATTTTTCTAAATATACCCCAATCAACAGATAAAGCATTAAATTAAGGATTTGTACACATTATTGGTACTTTAATATAATAAGGAAATTCATAATAAATTTCATCAATAAGCATTCATTCATTACAGCATTCAATTCACATAAAAATAAATTTAACAATATTTATGCAACAAAATAAGGGGGAAGAAAATTAGGCAGAAATATTCACTACACAGACATTGTCATCTGTATATTCCAAATAATTTTAGACAAATAATTTTCATTCATTTCATTTTGTATGAAGCAGGATTATATATTATGGAAATTTCAGTTTACATTGGACCAGATAATCTATTTTCCTGTAATGTTAACTAATAAATTTTGAGCAATTGAGATACATTGGAGTACAGGAGATCAGTATTTTGAAGGAAAATACACTTTTCCAAAATATTCATAATTCAAAACAATTCTCTTTAAAAAAATGGAAATACAATTTCTGCCTTTATTTTGCTATGAATTTTCTTTTTTGAATCAATCATCAATAAATATTATGTCACTGTTACAAGACAGAAAAAAATCTCAAGCTTGTTTTACCACACACACACACCCTCCCCCCCAAAAAACACTTTTGTTATATAAAAGTATTTACCACAATGTAAAAGTGGCATTATAAAAGCAGTTAATTAGCACTTACAAAATAATTTTTATACATTATAAAAAGTAAAGTAACCTTTTTTGAACATACTGAAAATAAAATACCGATGAAAACTTTTAAATGTTAAACTTTTAAATGATAAAACTTTTAAATGTTAACTGTATAAAATACAATTTCATTTCAATTTATAGCTTTTATGCTGATTTTATATTCAATAACAGGGTTTATACGCATTTCCGCATACAGAAATTAAGTTCTTTTATGGACTTTTAAGGAACATTAATGAAAAAAATTAAGAACCTATGAGCAAATGGAAACTAAATAAATTCAGTTAAAAATATTATCTATGCCTGAACTTCACTTTTGTAAAATCTCAAGCTACCATCCTAAAAATAAAATAGATCTGTAAGAAGGATGCATTATATTATTAAACATAACCTAATTATTAATAAGTTTGAGAATAAAATAAAACTTTACGAAATTTATCAAAGTAGCATTAAATATTTTACGCTTATTATACTTGGACATATTTGAAAGAAGGTACGTGACATTATATTTACATTTTACTAACAGTTACCTTTATGTTGATTTTTTTATGCCTCATTTTTGTCTTTCTCTGTCTAGAGGTTTAGTAAACAGTAGGTAGATTTTATGTCAAGTGGCACAGATTCAAATGAGAAGTAAAATAATAATCAGCACGATTCATAACAAAAAACTGACTGTTGTCACCTCTGCTGCTTGCCTAGAGAGAGACCTGCTGATCAGGTTTGTTACCTGAAAGTCCTGATTTAGGCATAGTTGGCAAGTTTTGAAAGTTAGTTGGGCTCTGTCTAGTGCAATTAGTGTAGTAACTTTGTGTAGAGTTACAGGGGTTGTAACCCACTTTAAGGTTCCAATAAGCCACTGAAGCACCAGAGGTGATAAGTTGAAGTAAGTTGGTTTCTAATTAGTCTTTTAAGTTTCATTAGATGTGGCGAATTAGGTTTTACATTTTTGTGTTTTATTTTGTGACCATGGTAAGGATTAATGAAAGGCAATAACTTGCTTTAATATGCAGAGATGATTTTAAGGCTAAGCAGTTAGTTATGGATAATAAATTAGGTAGTTAGATAACCTTATTGATTATGGATTTACAAGGCCATTATTAAATTTTATTTATTTGTTAACAATATTTGTTAAAAAAGACATATTAAAATCACAATCTAATAAAATTTCGCAGTTTAAAATACATGTAATTTATAACATTGATTCTTAAATAATATTAGGATAATTATACTATAAAAGCTACAAAACATTTATGTTTTGTAGCAACAACGCTCAACAAAATATTTGAATTAATTTGAAGCCCTCCCAGACATTTTGCCTAAAAAATAAATTGATATAAATCTAATTTATATCGATTTATTTTTTATTTATAATCAATTTATATCAATTTCCTTATTCTTAAGCATCTTTTCTAACAATTAGAAATTTGTCTCAATACGCAAAACAATGTTCTCACAAGTTTCTGCATGCCTTATCTCCTATCTTATCAACCTCTCTCCAATGTATCTATGAGGGTTTACTTGATCTGGTAAAAGTAAAATAATGCAACCCCCACAACACACACATGAAGCAAATTACCACTATGTCTAAGAGTAAATACAAAGTCAGAGAAAGGTTCAAAGAAAGTCTCTTATTTAAAAAGAACTTAAAACATAAAGGTATATTCTTCCGCTAAGACAATCAATTACAGTTCATGGTGATGTAATTAAACAAGAAGAGTCAAATTCAAACTAAAAATGTGAACTAGTGGTCAAAGACTATACAATTTAATTTTAATTTAAGATGGCTCAGTAACTCTATCATCATAACAAATTCAAGTATCGGCAGTGATAATGCAAAGACAAATAATTACAAATTATCAGAGCTGGCAGGAACTAATGCAGCGAGCAAGAGGAGGTCAGAAACACACCTTGTCTTGTCCAAAATCCCCAGTTTAACAACTCTCTCGCAAAAAAATATTCCTCCAAAATGGTAATTCACACTGAAAATGAAAGTAGTAAAAAAACAGATAGAAATGTCAGATGATTAAAATTAAGGACTTTCTGCCAATTTTTGCCGAAATTAAGGACTTTAACCCTTTAACGTGCGTGATATTATTTTTTAATCTTTTTAACTAAAAACTCTAGAAAATGAATATTATGATCCTAAAGACAAATAATATATGAATTAAAAAAAATCTACTCTTGCCCATTGTTTTTGTGGGTGGTGGTCGCACTGTGAAACCACCGCACGTCTAGGACTTTGAAACTTACTGAGGTAATGGGGGGGGGACCTTACCATTTTCCACGTGTGTTTCTAATAAATGACGAAATTTACGGATTTTTAAGAAAAATGTATGTAAGATATACATTATATATAATTTTTTTACGTTATTTTACAAATCATCAGAGAAAATTAAAAAGTAAACATTTATGTAATTTTTCTATAGCAGTGAAAATATAAGTACCTACATGATAAGGACATTTGAATAAATAGATTAAAAAAACTCAGTTTTTTTTTTTTTAAATTTCAAAAAACAGATTTTTTTTGTGATACTGTTCAAAGCATGTTTTGTCTTTTTGGTACATGCATAGACTAACATTGGGCATTTCGCATATGTATCTTGTTCTATGAGGTTTCTTCCTTGTGCTACAAAATGTACACTGCCTGGATCAAAATTTCACTGGTCCAGCGTTATTTAGTTTCTTTTCATCTGGTACTTAAAATTTCTGTTTTTTATGTTAATGGGGGGGGGCTTGGTCTTTTTGGCTTTGTATGAATCGTTCGTTTCCCATTCATACTTATTTTATTCGTATTTCGTCCCAAAATATTCAGAAAATATTAATTTAAAAATAACTTTTACACGATTTTCTATTTTTAATTATAGCAAAGTATATTTACATTAAATTTAAACCACAAGAAATAATTTATAAAATCACAATACCTGCTTGGGGAGCAAGTGTGTTGAGGTCAGAGAAAAGTCTTTGGAAAAGAAAGACCGTTTTACTGGGCAGGTGCATGTAGTGTTTAGTAATAAAATAACTCTGTGGTTTATTATTTTAAGCCCCTTATCCATATCTGGGTAAAAATAAACATTCCTATTTGAAAAGCAAGCAAACGCCAGTGGTTTCAAGGCTCGATCACCGAGCCTCTAGAGGATTGTGAGCATTGTGACACAATGCTCTAGTGGCGCAGTGGTCGGGCCCTGAAACCACATAACAAATGCCATACATATAGAGGTTTTTTTTTTATATATGCAGTTTAATTATTGCAATTTTTTATTGTTTATGATAGAAATCATGATGTGCAATGACTAACTTTTGAAATTTTAAAGTTGTTTATATTAATACAAGGAAGTTATTTTGTCTCAACGAAAACGAATTTTAAAAGGCATCCGATTTGAAGTATTAATACCTAAAACATGTATGATTCTGCAGTCATTTTGTGTCATTTAGAGGTAAAAGATAAGAAATTAATTAATTTTCACTCAAACATTTCGGAAAAAAGAGGAGGAAGAAAAATTCGAAAAATGGTGGTTTCAAGGCGCGACCACCGCGCGTCAAAGGTTTAAAGTACCAAAAATCGATTCTAAAAAACCTAACGACTTTTAAGAACCGTACGAACCCTGAATAATTTTGAAGAAAGAAATTGCAAATTTAACATTTATTCACATTAAAACATGCACTTCTTGATTTTATTCCCAGGGATACACATTTTTATTCCTAAACCATAAACCTACATTAAATTCCTTTTTTAGTTGACGGATCAAGTTTATACTGTAATAATGAACAGAAAAGAATGAAAAAATTAAAGACAGTTTTCTGTCTACAATTTATAGAATTATTACACTCGGCATTATATGTTGAGGTATCAAAAAAAAAAAAAAAAAAAAAAAAATACATTTTAGAGCTATCCAAGCTCTGGTAAGGGAAAATTTTATTAACAAAAAAAAAAAAAAAAAAAAAAAAAAAAAAAAAAATATCCAATGCACAAACACTGCTATTAAAACAAGATGGATGATTTTCATTCATTTAGTTCTGTACGAAGTGGGATTATATATACTGGCAAAATTTCAGTTTACTTTGGACCAGATAATGCATTTTCCTATAATGTTAACTAATAAATTTTGAACAATTAAGATACATATGCTGCTAAATAGTTTTAAATTTGCGTGGAAGCACAGGAGATCTGAATCTGAAGAGCCATTTGGGATAATATAACATGCTTGAAATCACCCCTCTAAAATACATTATGTGAATCAAAAAGTAAGATCAATGTCTTTCTTATTCAGGCAGACAAATTTATGGCATAATGATACATACAGGAATAAGGAGGTTCGATCTTAACAGGTGGATGACAGATGTTTTCAGCAGCTCAACATAGTGCAATTAAATGTTACAGTATGAGGAAGTGCAACCTACCGAATTTCAGCGTGGAAAGATATCTAATATAGGGATGATGAGTACACGAGCCAAAGGTGCATACTAAAGCAGGCAAAAATATTTAGTGCAACACAAAACAACAAATTTATTTGATGCAACTTCTTTAAATCACCCACCGAATTCTCATACTCAGGAATATATTGATCATATCAGTGCATTTATTCAAGAAGAATAATAGGTTTTTCTCTCTAAGATTGCTAAGAAAGTTAAACATTTGATATCGTTCCATGCTCTAAATCAGGGTTTCTTAAACTGTGGGTCGTGGGGTCACGGGACCTGCAGCAGGGGGTCGGCAAAAATTTTAGCAGTTTTGATATTTCTTTAACTTATTATAATCATTTTACAATTACAAAATATTTTTACACAATGTATCTGAAAATAGGTAAAAATAAGACAATACAGACAAAGAAAAAAATGAAAACGTTTCGATGCATTCTTTTTATAATATAAACATTCATTTTTCTTGCTTTGCATGTGACGCTGTCATTTCGTCTGTTACTTATTTAAAATTTTCACATTAAAATTAGAAAAAAATTACAAAATTAGTCTTAAAATTAGAAATTAAAGTTAATGATCTAAAACTGCAAGAGTATATTACAGTACAAGTGAAAAAATTGACAGTTTCACTCATGTGTGTATCAGATTTGCGCAATACTTATAGGTTGCCACAAAATTTTTGTAAGTATTATGGGGTTCTGGGGGTCGCAAAAAAATCTCAGTGATAAAAAGGTGTCACAACTGTTAAAGTTTAAAAAATCCTGCTCTAAATAAAGCATGATGCTGTGAGTTCTTCCCCCCTGTAGCATGTGTCAAAAATCAATTATCAATTGATTAAAGACAATCATCATTAGAGACAAAACATGGATACATTATTATGAGACAAAGAAAAAACACAAAGCAGAAATATACAAGACTCCCTTAAAAAAATTACTCTTTATACATCTGTATTTGCGGAAAAATTCGAAAATAATCCTCTCTCTATAAATTAAGAAACATCCATTGATTTAAAAAAATCTCAAATAATAAAGTGGCTGCTGAGAAATAAAGTTTACTTGTACACCTCATAATTTTTTCATTATGCGACAACAATGATCTTACATTCTGAATCTTCTTATTTTATCAAATAAAAACTGGTACATAATTAATTATATTTTATATTACCAATGAACAAACACACTAAAGACTTCAATATTTGATAGGCCTGAATAAGTTTCATAACAGCCAGTTTTGTCTTCTTTAAGTTAAATAGACAATATAATCTTATCATTGTTAAAACTTCATATTCAGTACCAATTTCATTTTCATCACAACATAGATTTGTTATAGTCTTCTCTACATAATCAATTTTATATTTCTAATAACATTACCCCCTTGCTCAATTTCATTATTATCTTTTCTGTTTTGATTTGAAGTTTGACCTTGAATCAAAATAAAAATTCCTGGCTGAAATGTTTTCATAGAACAGTTTTGTTTCGGAACTACTTTGATGCATATCATATAACAAAGATTATACAAAATACTTAATTATATATAAAAAGAAGTTAAATTACTTATATAAGGATGACCAGCCACAAGTTTGAGCGTATGAATTTCTCGTAGTGTAGCCTCTCTTAGACTTCCACTTGAATCATCAATATCAGCACTTATGTCAATGATCTTGGCAGCATATTCTTTCCCAGTGTCTTTTTCTACACAGCGTCTCACAGTACTGCTTACACCTCTGAAATTATGTATAAAAAAAGAGTTAATGGTCCCATTGACATATAAGACACACTAGTTAATTAACAAAGTATGTTCGGAAGAAAGTTCTCTGAACCAATTCAACTCAATATGGAGCCAGAGATCACAAAAGCATTTGTAGTTTATCTAGGTAAGAGAAATACCTCCTAATAAACATAAATATTAACTGTTTTTATTAAAATTATAATGTAGCTAATTACCATTAACCTTCCATGCAACCAAGGGTTTGGTCCCAAAACTCTGAAGTTCTAACAGAAGTCATACTAAGTGGAATTTTTGTGATTTTAATTCCTGAATGATCCTCCCAGTTAGTCTAAATTACCTTTTTTCTAACATATCTGTTACAGTTAAACTAAAGAGGACAGTTAATATCAATAATAACTGGTTACTATTAATAATCACTACATATTTAAAAAATGTGATAATAATGCATAATAATCATATTTAACAGTTACTTTTAATAATTACTAATGAAATATGGTCAATGTGATTAATTAAGCATAATAGATTGAAACCCCAAACTCTAACATGTGAAACAAAGTACACAAAATTATATACATTAACAATTTACAGTCATTTTTGAAAACTTAAAACCACCATTAGAAAAATCAAATCTAATGAAATTTCATTATAATAACATACTTTATAAAAAAACAAAATAAACTCAAGTTATTTAAGGCAGCATTTTATAGCACCTCCTTTCAATGGTGTAGCTAAAAAATTTGGGCCCTTAGGCAAAATAAGTGCATACGTGTATATATTTAATGTGTGTGTTTATTTATACATATATACTATAGATACAGATATTATACACACACATTAAATGTCATATTAGCATAGATAAGCATGAATTAATTAAAAATAAAGTCAAATGTACAGTCAATTTAGTTTTATTTAATATTTTCAAACAATTCAAGATTATTGCAAAAATACACAAAAATTATTAATAACAAGACCACATTACAGCAATCTTAATAAAACATAATAAAATTAAATACTGATCAGGATACCATTTGCAATAATAAATAGATTTACGAAATGCATAATCAGAGCAGTCATTTACATGATTTTTGTCGAGGCACATCTATTATATTTTTCAGATCCATGTTCAAAGGCAAGAAGCAAAAGATAATTTAAACAATCTTCCTATTGTAGTAACAGTTACAGGAATTACTAAAAAAAGTAAGAAAACTATAAACAATTTCACAAAATTCGCTTTATAGTTAACGGTACTTTCATTAAGTTCGCAAGTTCTTGGATAGTCATATTTTCATAAAAGTCATCTTTACACAACTGTAGTGTGTTTATAAATTGTAAAGAAATTTTGGTGACAATATTTCACAATAAATGTCTCCTAAATTGCCCCATTTTTTTGTATTAATTTCCTTTGCATGGATTATATAATGAAGTTCCAAAAAACCAAATCAATCTCTCATATCTGACATGCCAATAAATCAATAACCATGTACTAAAATAATGTATAAAATGAAGTAATATGCTATTTTCAGCCATTTGTTTCAAATTCTGCTGAAATAAGATCAAATCTATTTTCTAACATTTATGCTGGCATTAATTAAACATTACACAGCTTTATCTAGACATAAATTAATTTCCTGCAATATTTTTAAACGTAACTCATTTCATTTAATATTTTAAGCACAAATGTACAAATAAATATAAATTCAAAATTTATTATTTTCTTTTTCACCTGCAGTGCTTCTTCCCATTTCTGTTTTTTTTTTTTTTTTTTTTTGCTTTGCTTTGAAGGTGGACTTCAGTTAAAACTTTCAGAATGTCACCATAACATAATTTTAATTTTACTGCATTTAGTGAGATGATCCTACCTCATGAACAAGACAGGATTAGCTTTTTTAACATATTTCTGATTCGGTTATAATTTTTTTTAACAAATCCATTGGTTTATACTTTCCCCACAGAATAAATATATATTTTGTAATATATCAAAAGATGATGTATTACGGGGTTTAAATTGTGAGATGAGCAATGCATAAATTCTGCACTTGGCAGAATAGATTTTTTTATCTTTTGTTGAAAGCTATAATACTCATAACATAAGCTCCGTTACATACTTATCCATAACACTTTTTAAGTGAAATTTCATTTTCTTTTAAGAAATTGACAAAGTTCTTTTAACCCTTTGGAAGAATGATCTTTTACAGCATAAAATCTGATAAATGTTTTTTCAACTATAAGATTCATGGGTTCCGAACAATCATCTCTTGCAATATGAACATGTCTTAAAATGACACTCATTTGATTCCTTCTCAGTATATCTTCAGTAGCATCTAACAATAAAGGATAAAAGGGAGATGCATCATCAAATTTTCTTATAAATTATGACAAGCACTTTGAATTAATTAATTTTGTGTGGTAGTGGTCAAGTATACTTCCTACTCGCATTTCAAAAATTGTTTCATAACATTGTCATATTATCTAATAATTTAACATGCAATAAAAATTTTCCATTATAGCTAGTATTTATATTTTCACTATCCCTCCAAAAAGGTACACTGCGCGAAAAAAAGGGGGCATAGTTCTGTATCTCCCATTCTACTGGGATGATTGACAAAATTCAAATTGCATTTTTCATGTCTCAAAAAGCACACCTTAGGAAATGTATTAGATTTATATATAGCATTGTTCTAATATAGGTATTTTGACATAAAATCGGACTTTTTCTGAAATGATATACCAATTTTTTTTTCATATTTCGATTCTACGATTCAAATTATGTCAAACTGCCAAGTTTTGTAAAAATCGTACGAGTTTAAAACACTAGCTCTAAAAATTTTAGCTCCTCCATGCTAATTGAATTTGGTATATACAGGGTGTTTCACAAATCATGGGACAAACTTGGAGGGGTGGTGAAGCAAACTAAAAAAAGCAATTTTTATATAGGAATGTAGGGGTTAAAGTAACGGGTTACATAAAAAAAAAAAAAAAAAAAAAAGACATGAGAGGAAAATGTATTTATGTACAAAATCAATGCAAAGTGCTCATTTGCAGCAATACAGTATTCACAATAAATATTCAAAAAAGGGAACACTTTTTTAACAGCAATAACAGCAATAAGAACTACAGCTGTGATTGGCTGGCAATGCGGCGGTACAGGGCTGTAGTGAGCTGGACAAACCACGATCCAATGCATCAGAGGCAGTCCCGGATCTAGCGGGGGCAAGCCGGGGTTCTTGCCCCGGGCGGCAAATTCAAATATAACACTGGATTGTATCTGGTATGTTGTTTGCTAAAACAGCTAATTTTTTTTTTTAATCCAATGACAGATTGTGAACAATTACAAATGTAACCCAGTCCATTAATCTATACAAGGCCAGATGTGATGGTCTCTTTATTCTGGAGGCACCCAGTAATAGGTGGGCCACCATCGCCTTTCCTATGATGGGGGACGGACAGTTACAACCATGCCTTCTCCGGGATTCGAACCCAGGCTCTTCGGCATCGCAGTCAGCTTATTTGTTGGACCCATGCAGTTGGCTGGTCATAGAAAAAAAAAAAAAAAATAAATGATTACCAACAATCTTTCTTTAGCAGTCAATCGGTATTATTAGCTGGTAAACATCCAGAAAACGCAAACCTCAGTCCCATTGAACGTGATGGCAGACATTTGATATGTAATACAGAACATTAGTAAATAATGAAAAGCTTAGATCTTGGTTTACATATTCTAAAAACAAGAATGCAATGTTTTGTACAGGCTGCAAGATTTACCAGAAACATGGTGTTGCTGTTACACCATACAACAGGATTCATTAATTGGAAAAAAGTTTCAAGAATCTTTGTTGCAAATAGGTGATTTTTTAAAGGGGGGGAAAGATTCGGTTTAAGATTCCCCATCCTTTGGTAGCTATTACTGCTACCAAAGCCCCGGCCTCAAAAGGTTAAGTGGAAAATTCGAGTACGACAAATGAAATCATGCCAAGGCATCGATTATGACACTGAGCGACTCATTTATACAGAGAAAGAAAAATGGAGAGAAATTCTATATAGTCGTGGATGCGGGACTGTATTTTTCAACAAACTGTCGTTCGTTTCTTGGGTCTGATGAAATCCAAGTAGCCTGTTCGCAAAGTGTCCTCGACCAAGTCAAGGAAATTTTCTGAATTTATAATCTCTCTGCTTGCTAAACATAATTCAACTCTTAGGTACCTGTGAAAGCATCTAACAAAGGGAAAGGAATCATATTTATCAAAGATAATTAAAATAAGTTATTAACTTAAGGTAAAACAGTCTGAAGTAGCATTTTAAACGATATTAAAGAAGCCAAATACTGCACAATAATACTCGATTGCACTCAATATGTGTCTCATACAGATAAAAATGAACCAGGTGATTCAATATGTAAAAATGTGTGGTGATGTGTGAGAGATAAAGGAAAATTTAATTGATTTCATAGAAGTTGGTGGAAAGATAGGAGAATGTATTTCTGAACGCGTTGTAGAAACTTAGTGCCTTGATTGACACTTGATGGTTTAGATATTGAACAATATCGGTGTCAGTCTTACGACAACGGGTCTAATATGGATGGCATTTCTAAATCAATTGAAACTAGGATTACGGAAATGAAAAAGCTGGAGGAATTTGTGCCATGTTTGGCTCATTCCTAGTATCTTGTTGGTGTGCATTCTGCTTCTTTGTACATGGAAGCAGTTAACCTATTTGGAATTACTCAGAAAATACTTTCTTTTTTTGTCGCATGCACTACTCGATTGTATATTATGAAACAATGTACAAAATACATAAAAGGAAAAAAAAACTTAAAAATTTAATTAAAATTGTAAAAAACTTAAAAGGAAGCAGCCAGACGAGATGGTCGGCAAAATAAGGGGCTGTGAAAGTCCTTCTGATGAATTTACCGGAAATATAAAATATTTAAAAGAAATTAAAGCTATTTCTACGTAGCGGAACCATGCCGGGAAGTTTACGTAGACGATACTTTTACCC